TGTTCTGGCTGCACAGCACTGCTCCCACCCACAGACCTCCTCCAGATGCAGCAATTCGGCCTTAGGGGGGGGATGTGGTGGTGAGGTCAGCTGAGGGGCAGTTCCCCTCCAGACCTAGTCCCTGCATGGTCACTGAAGGACATGAGCTCCCTCAGATGACAGAGACGGGCTAGGGTGGGAGCTTGGGGCTTCAGACTGGTGTAAAGGTGTTGCCAACAGGCTGTGGAAATAGCTGGAGTGTCCATCTGTGGGGGAGGGCCAGGGAGGTCCAGAGACATCAGTGGCTTCTGCAGACCAGGCTGGGAGCAAGGGATTTGCCTTGGTCTTTGCAAGAGTCTGGCAGAGGCTTCTGGGTTACCAGAGATCCCTTGAGCAGCACATGAGTTCCCGAGAGGAGGGGACATATGCTCAGGAAGCTAATGGGGGAGGTTGTCAGGGTCAGGGGTGAGAAAGGGAGGGGTCCCCATGCAGTGGCTTCATATGGGAGGGTGACCTGTGCCACCAGAGGGGAGCTGACCCGGGGCATTGCTAAGTCAGGACCTGCCGGGAACCGTTATCACTAATACTAGATTTTATTAAACTTCAGAACACTTTGCTTTCTTCTAATGTGCATTATAAAATTGGCTTCAGTGCACAAGCTGTGACCGGTATGAGAGAGATGACAGGTGCTTTAAAAGTTCACAGGCTGAGGTTTACTGAAGTGAAATCATAATGCACAGGTTTCTTCCCAGGCACCCCTACAGGTGTGTGCCATTTCCTCCTGTGGGTTAAAGGGAGCTAACTTTTCGGAGGGTAGGTTAGAAAATGTGCACTGAATCCAGTGTCGGCCTGGTGCTGATGCAGCCTCAAGTTCACATCTCAGGCCACTTCAGGGTGAGTGACGGCCTCTCCCAGCCGGTCACTCACTGAGCTCGCAGTGCCTGAGTGGAAGCCTGGGACTCCAGTTTCTGGGGGTGTTGCCACTGGGGTGATAGAGTCCAGCAAAACTTTCCCTGCCTGCCACATGCACTTACTGCAAACGGGAACATGGGGTGTTGAGGCACAGGGACTTCAGCTTCCATCCTGACTGCAGTGGAAGGCCTGACAGAGGGGAGAAAAATGTATTGGGTTTCTGGTCCAGAAGGACCCTCTCGTGGTAGCATGGAGGGGACCTGGGAGTGGTAGATTCACGTCTCAGTTTGGGCTGCTATAACAAAGTACCATAGACCATGGCTTTTTAAAAAAACAATTATTTATTTATTAATATTATTATATTTTTACGTTCTAAGATGTTACAGAGCAGTTGGAGGGGGAGGGGGAGATGGAAAAGGGCAGGGAAATAAGGTGGGAGGAAGAGGCAGGAGGGAGGGTATGGTAGAGGCCTGTGACAGCCCCCTCATTCTGGCAGGGGAGATGAGGGGGCTTCCAGCAGCAGCTCAGTCATTGCTGGGCTGTATGCAAATGACAAGGGGGTGTGGCTGAAGCCCTCAGTTCCCCACTGTGCCAGCCTGGGAGCCTAGGGTGCTTCCTGTGGCAGCTCGGTGGTTGTTGCTGGGCTGGTTGCTGATGTCACGGGGGGGTGGCTGAGGCCCTTGACCCCGACCACCTTGGCTCAAGGGCCTGGGGTGCTTCCTGTGGTGGCTTGATGATTGTCACTGGGCTAGTTGCAGATGTCGGTGGGGCATGGCTGAGGTTCTTGGCCCCCACTGCCCTGGCTCAGGTGCCCAGGGCATTTCTGGTGGCAGCTCAGTGGTCGTCTCTGGGCTGGGTGTCATCAGGGGGTTCTGGCTGAGGCCCACAGCCCTCCCCATTCCCAAGCTTGGGAGTCCGGGGGACTTCTGGTCCTTCTAGGTTTTATTGGTGTTCTTCATCCACAGCCCTCCCCTCCCAAGTCATTCCCAAGCTTGGGAGTCCGGGGGACTTCTGGTCCTTCTAGGTTTTATTGGTGTTCTTCAGTGGTGTTAAACTTTACTGGTTAATATCCAACTTTGTGATCTGTGGGTATTTTGTTTTTTCTTTCAGTTCAGTGTTGGATTATTCACTGTTCCCACCACTTAAACTCTGCACTGGAACTAATTTGTTGTCCTTTGCTTACTAATAAAATGGGGAACTTCCTGTGGGGACCAGCACATGAGTCCTGTGGTTGAGCTAAATTGCTACTTTGCTGCGGATTCCCTGGGGGAGGCTTTATGTGCAACTCAGGTTTTAATTGTTGACCTTTTAAGCACTTCCAGGTCTTGTGAGATCTGATACACCTCGGCTGTGTGGAAACTCTGGTCTAAGCCCAACTGTTCTCATCAAACTGCACCCCCTGCAGTTTTATATTCCTGACCAGTCTCTTCTGAGTGATTCTACGCTGACTGGGGTGCAGATCAGCTGTCCTTGCTGTGCCCCAGTGTTCCCCTCGTGGCCCATCTCCCCCATCACCCACACCCCAAACACTTCCCATGAGATGGGCCATGCTCCAGTCCCTTGCAGTGACTCACCAGCATCTGAGTGGCTCCTGTTTTTCAGTTGTCTGTGGCCCCTCATTCCTATGTGGGTCCATGGGAACCCTGTTAACAGTCTTGCTGGCCTGTGGGGACACCAAGGCCCTCTTCTCCCCTGTCACCTCCAAGCAACTTCTTCTGAAGGACACAGCTCCGTGCACTCACCAACTCCAGCCTGGAAGCAACCAGGGCTTGAAATGGTCAGAGAGATCCATTCTTTCTCTCATCATGCCTTCTCCCACCTTCATGCACTCCATAGGTCTCTCCTCCCCTTCCCCTGAGCTCTAGTGGCCCCAGCTTTGCTGTCGTTGCTTTTTAATCATTGTAAATTGGTTGATTTGTGGGAGTGACACTGGGGACTGTCTATTCCACCATCTTGACCTGAAGCCCTGAACTATGGCTTAGAAACAACAGACATTTATTTCTCACAGTTCTGGAGGCTGGAAGTCTGAGATCAGGGTGCCAGCATGGTGGGGTTCTTGTGAAGGCTCTGTTGGGGGTTACAGATGGCCAGCTCCTTGCTGTGTCCTCACTGTGGACTGAGCGAGCGAGCTCTTGGGGGTCGCTGCTCTAAGGGCACTAATCTCATCCATGAAGGCTCCACTCACGTGACCTGATCACTTCCCGTCGGCCTCTTCTCCCGATACCATCACCTTGGGGGTTAGGATTTCCACATGAATTTGGGAGGACATAGACATTCTGTTCATGAGTTCTGACATGACTCGGGAAGGAGTCAGTGGTGAAGTGATGGCCAAAGAGCCCCTGATGTGTGGCACAGACGTCACGGGCAGTGGAGACAGCAGCCAGGCCAGTGTGGCTGGGGAGGAGGGCAGGGGCAGCAGCAGGCACTTCCTTCTAGATCTTTAGCTATAAGAGGGAGAAAAGAGGGGGTCCCCTGGTGCAGGGATGCAGTGGAAGTTTCTTCTTCCACCTGGGGACACGGGAGGATATCTGAAAGCCGTGGGGAGCACCCAATTGACAGGACCCAGTAAAGTGCATGGGGGAGGGACAAGGGTCCGGTAGGGAGAGAGGGGTGGGATCTCAGGTGATCCTCAGATACCAAGTGGGGACCCCACTGCTGCACAGAGAAGCGAGCTGGTCAGATGTGCACCATGAGGGTCTGTCATGTGCAGGTGAGGGAGGGGCAGCTGGAAGTTCAAGGAGACAGAGAGAGACATGAACAGCTCTTGCAGAGAGGAGGAGGGAAGCTGCTCAGAGAAGTGGGTTAGAGTTGCCAAGGAGTGCTGAGGGTATGTACGTCCATGAATTTACAAGGAACTTCTCATGACACCAGTTGGCCCTGTTGGGAGGTTTTTTCCAGCCACAGGCCTAGAGGAAACAGATCAAAGTTTTGCCGGACCCCTGGGGCAGACAGAGCATGTGGGGCAAGAGAGTTGAGGGTATTGGACAGTGTCATTGAGGTGGTGGGCAGTGGCACCCAAGCTGGGCGAGCTGATGGCTTTAGCAATGGGCTGAGGAAGTGCAGGTGGCTTAGGGTGGGCCAACTGGGGCAGGAGGAAGAGCCTGGGGGGGCAGGGGCAAGGTCCCCAAGAAGGAGGCCTCTAGCCGGGAGGTGGGCAGGGTCAGAGTGGTGAAGGCAGGCGGCGTGGGCAGAGAGGAAGGTTGAACCACAGTCTAGACTAGTTCAGAGGACGGCTGACTGCGGCCCCAAGGCCAAATCCTCCTGGCCACCTGATTTTATATGAAAGTTTTATTGGAACACAGCCACACCTGCTCATTTCCACAGTGTCTGTGGCTGCTTGTCTGCAAAAGCAAAGAGTTGCAAGAGAGAACACACAATGTAAACTAATTACTCTCTGGCCCTTTCCAGAAAAGTTTTGCTGACCCCCTTCTGAAGCTGTGCTGTCCAGTGCAGGAGTCACTAGCTGCTAATATGTGGCTCTTTATATTTCAGCAAACTAAAATTACATGCAGGAGAAAGATTCAGTTCCTCAGTTGCAGGAGCCACAGTTCAGGTGCTCAAAGCCACGTACAGCCAGTGGCTCCCGTACAGGACAGCACAGAGACGGAGCATTCCATCACAGCGGAAAGTTCTGTTGGGCAGCGGTGGTCTAGAGGCAGCAGAGGGAATGAGGACCGTGTTGCCCATCCCGGGCCTGAGGTGTGTTGGATGAGGGGTGCTGAGAGGCAGCCAGCAAGAGGAGCCCTGCAGGACAGATGTGGAGGAGAAGCCCCCAGCAGAGGAGGGGGCACAGTCGCAGGTCACCGTCATGAGTTCCAGGGGCCTCCGCAGAAACATGGGAAGTGCTGTGGTTTTGGGGAAGTGAGGCCTTCTGGGGTTGCAGCATGTGCCTGTCCTGTGGAGGCCATGCTGCTTTGAGTGACAGTCGCTTGGGAACCCGGAATTGTCTTCCCGACAGAGTTTTCTGGCCTGTGTGTTAATTTTGCACAGCTACTCCCACCACGCAGCCTGGGTAAGGAGTCGTGTTCCCTGTGCCGTGGCCAGGCGCGCCAGCCCTCTGTTCAGGGCGGTTTTGCTCAGGCAGACGCTAACTCTGTGCCCTTCTCCAGTTCCAGGGCCCTGTGAGCCGGAAGACCTCATTGATGGTATCATCTTTGCTGCCAACTACCTGGGGTCCACCCAGCTGCTCTCGGAGCGGAACCCCTCCAAGAACATCAGGATGATGCAAGCGCAGGAGGCCGTCAGCCGGGTCAAGGTAGCGGGGCTCCGGCCTCAAGGCGCCCCCTTGGGTGGGCTCAGGAGCTCCCTCCGGGGGCACCGACATGGATGGGGCACAGGCGCTCTGTCCAGCTTGGCATGGCCCAGGTGCCGGGCGAGGCAGAGGGAGGCCTCTGCCTTAGTGGGAGGACTCGGGGGCAGGGTACAGGGACAACTGTCTCCTTAATAATGAGCAGTCCACCCATTCCCCAGGAAGCATGATTTTTTAAGAAATGATTGTTCTGATGTATTTGGAACCTCAGGTCCACAGTATGTGTATTTTTAGCACCATTCGAAGTACTTCTAGAAAGGGGAGAAACTAAATTATGTTGTGTTTGAATTCATGACCTCAAGAAAAACACTGACAACTGACGTACTTGCAGCTCTTGGTGTGTGTTGATCATCTGGATTTGAATGGTGGGTGAGGCGGAGCAAGGGGACGATCAGGCCACATCCACAAAGCTAAATGGCGTCAGGAGAGAGGGCAGAGGCGGCACCCCCTCTGAGCAGCAGGGTCTGCAGATGCTGCCAGCCCATGGGGGTGGGAAGCAAGGTCGACCCTCCCCTGTCCTCACCATACACTGACCTCATTTAACAGAGGCAAAGGAAGGGGTACCATGAGGCCATCATGGCAGTCAGGAGAAAGCAAAGCCACCGCGGGCAGCCTGCGCCCGTCCTGCTCAGGACCCTTGGCAGAATCCAAGACCTCTGCTGCCAAGATCTCGCCCACCCTCCTGCCAGTTAATTGTATCTGTCCTGACCTCAATTGTGTCCTCCATAGATGGGGTGGTTAACAGCCATTTCTAGCTCTCCAGGGGCACGTGTGTGGGCTTCTTGATCTGCATGTGCTGGATGTAAGTGGTGGCTGTCCACCTGTCCCTGCAGGGCACCTCTCCATGCGCCGACAGCCATTTCTAGCTCTCCAGGGGCACGTGTGTGGGCTTCTTGATCAGCATGTGCTGGATGTAAGTGGTGGCTGTCCACCTGTCCCTGCAGGGCACCTCTCCATGCGCCCGGTCTGAGTACTGGGGCGTTGACTGTGAGAGTGAAATAACCTTGGCACACCTTTCTTCTCCCATGCCCACCTGTTTTTCTTTTTCTCTTACATGCTGCTCAGAGGATGCAGAAAGCTGCTAAGATCAAGAAAAAAGCGGTGTGTAGGACCGTTGTGGCCTGGGACGGTGACGTTTGCTTGTGCTCTGTGGCTTGTCTCGTGCAGTGGGGGGTTTCCACGGGGATCCAAGTAATGTTACAAAGCAGTTTTTTCTCTTCCTTTGGAAGGTGAATATTCGACTTTTGAATGAAACCCACAGACTCTTTTTTAAAAAAATTGCTCATTTACAGCAGAAGTAGTAGTTGCTCCTTTTTATCCTATTTTCTTAGAGGCGCCTGTGTGCCAGCGCGGGGTTAATGCGGCAAGGCCCCCGATTCACATGGCATTTGATAGGACAGTGTGATGGATCTAGTGCCTGGGCCTCCTGTTCAGTATCAATTAAATTGTCCTGATATTTAAAGACTCATTAAGTTTAATTTACTAAATCAGGATGATGAGTAGCTCAGTTTGCCTGGGAGATTCTTTCTCTATTGAAACAGTTTTTGGAGCACGACAGACTTTTAAAAATGGGGTTGACATTTAGTCATGTGTGTGTCAACCTGGTCATTTAGTAAATGCTGGGGGTTTTCTAACTGTCCTGCTCACTCAGAAAGCGTCACAGTGCTTGGTGTTGGGGGGCCCCAGGCAAAGCCAGGGAGACTTGGCTCTGGTGTGTTGCCCACCACTGCCCTCTGTACTTCAACAGCAGGAGATTTAGTCCCCCTCCACACCGTGATGTACGGAATGCTGCTTCCTGGCTCTGTGGCCAGAGCACCCCATCTGGGGGCTCCCTTCCGCCTTCAGTGGAACTTCTGTCCACCTCCGACCTTTGCTGTTTGCCAGCGGAGGCTCCTTTGATTCCCCTCCAGCCGCAGGAGCAGAAGGAACTAACCCATCTCAGCCCAGGCAAACTTTCCTCTAGCTGCCTCTGGGTAAAGCAGAACGGGCCTGGGTTGCAGACGTGCAGTTGGGGTGTGCTGCCCCCAAAGAAGAGGAGCCCCTCACCTGCAGCCTCCCAGTCCATCCTTGGGCTGCCCAGGCAGGGGGGCAGCAGGAGTAGGGGAGTCCTTATAGACCGCTGCCTGCTCCTGGGGTCTGCAGGTCCAGAAATCCTACAGAGTCACCACCTCTGGAGGGGTCGGGCACAGCAGACCCAGCTTTAAAAAGGCATCAGCAGCCATCAGGGAGGCAACTGATTACATTTGATTAAGGGTTGTTCTTCCTTTGGGGGCATGAGATTCTCGGGACGGCTGCTGAGAGCCCCTTTTCTGGTCTGCCCACAGCTGGTGAAGCTGGTGATAGTGGGTGAGCCTGGCACCCAGAAGCAAGCACGGTCCTGGCAGGGGGACGCCCTGCCCACAGACACGCTGGTGGCTACAGTGAAACGGTCCCCAATTCACATGGCCCGTCCTGTTCTCTGGTGTCCATCTGCAGGACCCATACTGAGGACTGTCCCTTTGTCCTTCCCTGTTACTGATCGGGTTCAGGCTCCGTCCATCTACCCACCACTCGAGCCTGGTCAGCGTCAGGTTCGCCCTCGTCTCGGATGGAACGCATCACAGCAACGGCTGTCACTAGCACCAGGGTCCACCTGCACCTTTTCTAATTTACCCCTGGCTCAAACTTTCTAGCAAGAAAGTTTCGAGCTATAATCCCAGAATATAACTGTTAAAAGTAAGTTGACGTTGAATAGAAAACCCGATTTTTAAAAGCTAAGAAAAAGTCCTGTGGAATCTGTTTTTCAGCCGGATTGTTTTGCACTCTGTTCTCTTTCTAGTTAGTTAAGAGCAATATCTCCCCGTGGTAGATTGAAAGCCCAAAAGACCTTTTCCCTTGAAAACTGAGCTAAAATTCAAATTTATCATTATAATGCAGGCCTCTATGTGACTCAGAATTCTGAAGGAATTGTCGGCAGGGAGATTTTTATTTCAGATTTTCCAATGAGTGATTAAGTCACAGCTTCTGCTCTTTTGAAGTGGTAGACATCCCACTGTGGGCTCCCGAGGGACCACAAAGAATTATTCAACTCCGTGGACAAACCCATAGAACTTGTATTTTATCGCCACTGTGTGGTAATAATCAGGATTCTCACAGATGTACAAACCGATTAAAGGCTGTCCTGGTTCGGGGCAGACCCCAAGTGATTCACTCAGCTTCCAGAACAGTCCATAGAAACAACTGACAGCCACAAACTGAGTATGCTCTGGTGGAGGTGACAGGACAGGGTCAGAACAGGTATGACACCTTCTCCCCACTTCTGTGTTGCTGTTGGGGCAGCGCTCAGACCAGTCCCTGGTCTCAGTCTCCTCAGGAATTTTGTGGATCCTGGGCCAAGGCTGCAGAGGGGTCGACATGATTGTGACTGTTAAATCAGAAGGAAAAGCTGGTGTTTCAATCCACCTTCTTTGAAAATGTCTTCCCCCTTTCCCGGGGATATTTGGAATCCCAAATATAGGAAATGTAGCCTGAGTCTACAGCGCCTCTGCTTGCACTGACTTCAGCAAGGGTTAGCCCAGGGGTCTTGCTAGCTGCCAAGGGAGGAGGGGCCATCACATAAGCCCCCCGGTGTCCGGCTTCCACCCGTGCTCAAGCTTCCTGGAAGCTGGCTCCCCACCCTCCTGCTCTGTGCCTTTTACAGACTGCCCTGGGAACTCACACTTGGCTGCAGAATGCTGCAGGGGGCGTGCATTCAGATTTTTGGTGGCTACTTCATGCTGGAGTAGCATATCCTTCTAGGAGGACTCAGGATAATTAATAAAATTGCCAGGCCATCATTCAAGTTAACTTTTTTGTTTTGTTTGTTTTTATTTTTTACATTGACAGGTAAAATTGTATGTATTCACTATCTACAACATGACGTTTTGAAGTATATATATATATATATATACACTGGAATGATTAAATCTAGCTAACATATGCATTTTATCATTTTTTATGCCAAGGACATTGTACATCCACTCTCTTAACATTTTTCATGAATACAGTATATTGTTAACTGTAGTCACCCCGTTGTGCAGCGTAGCTTTCTTGAACTTACTCCTCCTGTCTAAGTGAAATTTTGTGTCCTTTGACCTCTCCCCAAGCTATCTGCTGCAGCCCCTGGTAACCACTATTTTGCTCTCTGCTTCTATGAGTTCAGCTTATCTAGCTTCCACGTATGAGTGAGAACATGCAGTGTTTGTTTTTCAGTGCCTAGCTTATTTCACTTAATGTAATGTCCCCCAGGTTCATTCATGTTGTTGTAAATGACATTGTAACTTTGCAAAAGCCTTTTTTAGGGCTGGGTGGTATTCCATGTGTGTATATACCACATTTGCTTTATCCATTCGTCCACTGATGGACACTTCGGGTTGATTTCTTAGCGATGGTGAATAGTGCTGCATTGAACATGGGTGTGCAAACATCTCTGACGTCCTGCTTTCCTTTCCTTTGGACATATACCCAGCAGTGGGATTTCTGGATCATGCAGTAGTTCTATTTTTAATTTTTTGAGGACTTCCATACATTTTTCCATAGCAGCTGTACTAATTTACATTCCCACCAACAGTGTACAAGGGTTCCCTTTTCTCCACATCCTTGCCAATATTTGTTACCTCTTGTCTTTTTGGTAATAGCCATCCTGACAGGTGTGAGGTGACATCTCATTGTGGTTTTGATTTTCATTTCCCTGATGATTAGTGACGATGACCATTTTTTCATGTACTTGTTGGCCATTTGAATGTCTTCTTTGAGACATGTCTACTCCCAGTGGAATTTTGGATTTGTAACAGTATCCACTGTCCTTTCATAGAATTCCGAAGGGGATTCCCAGACACTGACAGAAGTGGACCTCTTCATCTCCACCCAGAGGATCAAGGTTTTAAATGCAGACACACAGGTAAGAATTTAAAAGACAGCTGTTTAAACTCCCTAGACCAGACTCCTGGGTTTGTACCTCTTCCTCATCCCTCTCTACGGATCGTGGTTCCCAACAATGTCAGTGTATTTTTCTCATTCGCTTTCCTTTATACAATGCCCATGTCACTGGGCTGCTGGGAGGAGCAGAGAGAGCTCAGCAGGTCATAGCCCTGCAGGTGGCAGCCCCCCTCAGGGTGGGAGGTGGGTGGGAAGACCTGCTGGGAGCCCTGAGCCCCTCCCCTCCTCCCCACTCCTGGGGCTCCTGACTCTTTGGGAGAGAGGAGGCAGCGAGGTGTGTCGTGGAGCTGGGATAGCTCCTCCNGGATTTGTAACAGTATCCACTGTCCTTTCATAGAATTCCGAAGGGGATTCCCAGACACTGACGGAAGTGGACCTCTTCATCTCCACCCAGAGGATCAAGGTTTTAAATGCAGACACACAGGTAAGAATTTAGAAGACAGCTGTTTAAACTCCCTAGACCAGACTCCTGGGTTTGTACCTCTTCCTCATCCCTCTCTACGGATCGTGGTTCCCAACAACGTCAGTGTATTTTTCTCATTCGCTTTCCTTTATACAATGCCCATGTCACTGGGCTGCTGGGAGGAGCAGAGAGAGCTCAGCAGGTCACAGCCCTGCAGGTGGCAGCCCCCCTCAGGGTGGGAGGTGGGTGGGAAGACCTGCTGGGAGCCCTGAGCCCCTCCCCTGCTCCCCACTCCTGGGGGTCCTGACTCTTTGGGAGAGAGGAGGCAGCGAGGTGTGTCGTGGAGCTGGGATAGCTCCTCCTTCTGTCCTCCTGGGTCTTTGGATTCTGAACAGGGCCTGTAAATTAAAGCTCTAACGAGGCACAGAGGAGTCAGTTCATGGGGGTGGACAAAAGCAGAGGCCTCAGTTTCCTTTTGCCTGCTGTTTCGAGGTAGGCACTTAATAGGATAAACTTTCCCATTCTATTGGCCAGGAGTGCCGTGGCCCACGGATGAGATGCAGTTCTGCTGGGGGCGGCCTGGAGTCCTCTGCCCACTTCCAAGGCACAGGCAAGGGCAGCAGACGCTGCCCAGAGCAGGGCCCTGCTGCCGGCTTTGGTTGTCCCTGCTGGCTCTTTGGATGATCATGTTTTCCCTGCAGCCCGACTTTTTTGATGTCAGTTCTCAGGCCCTGTCCTTGAGTCTGGGGGACTACAGGCCAGGCATGGCCGATCATCACAGCCACCCTGGACCTCAAAAGCATCTTCCTGTTGCCCCTCAGGACTGGGGATCTTCTGTTCCTTGGAGGACATGGGGCCCCTTTCCTGTCGCCCTCCTCTGCCCCACCACTGCTTCTGGACCTAGCACTTTGCAGGGGACTAGCTGGGCGCTCACCTTCACGAGTTCTGCCTTACGGGTCTGTGAAGGATCCTCTCTGTGGCTGCTGGAGATGCCGTGGCCTCACAGGTTTCTGCAGACAGGAATGTTCCAGAGCCACAGAGCAGGCAACCTCAGAGTTTCCACACTCTGCTCTGGCTTCCCCAGTGACAGGCTACTAATAATTAGGATCTGAGGTGAAGAGCACACCCCTGAGATCTTCGGCAGGCCCAACATGCTGGGGGAACCAGAGTGCCCAGGGGCAGGGCTCGGGGTCAGCTGAGCTGTGCCAGACAAGCAGGGTGGGGAGGGGACAGAGTCTGTTGTACAAAGGGCACTGATGACATCCGGGCCATGGACAGGGCCCTTGTCACCTTGCCAGTGCACCTGTGAGCAGAGGACTCCACAGGAGGGAGGTGGGTCCCCACGCGTGCCATCTGAGTGACCACACTGGTGGTCTTTGAGCATTGGTTTAAGGAGTCCTCCAATTTCTCTTGTCGAAGCCAGGCAGCCGTAGTGACCCTCGCCTCTGCTTGTGCGAGTTTAAAGGACGCTTTCATTGCCTCTGGTTTTCAGTAGCAAGCACCTTGCCACCCGCTCTTTCTTCCTGTTGCTCCAGCTCAGTGGCCCACCTGGGTCTGAGTTCTCCACAACCTGTTCCCGTTGTGGTGATCTGAAGCAGGGTCTGCTTTCCCGAGTTCTGGGTCATTTCCCTCCCCTCGCAGCATCCCTCTGTGGTGCCACAGCTGGGGTTCCCTGATGCTGGGGACTCCTGGTCCTTTACAGGAGAGACAGCTGGTGATGTAGAAGTCCAGTCCCCACCTCCACACCCCTTGCCAGCTGCGAGCCCAGCCTCCTGGGTCTGCCTGGGCAGGGACCGGTGGCTCAGTTGTCCGTCCGAGCAGCTCTGCTGTGGGATGGGGACCAAACGCCACTGCCGCAGGGCCTCCCACCCGCACCATGCACAGGGAATGCTTGCGTTTGCGCACACCATCCGAACTGAGCCTGCTAGAGCCTCCTCTGAGTGTTTGCTCCGTGATGGAAATGTCGCAGACTGCTCCTGCCGGAGAACGGTGGGTGCCTGAGCTGTTGCTGTGGTGTTCAGTGAGTTCACCCGCTGATTCGGAGCCCCTGTTATGTCACTGAAGGTCAGCTGGAGCTGGCAGAAGAAGCAGATGTGCCCTGTTCTGAGGAGGCCCTTGTCTAGCTGGGCCTGGTGCCCGTGTGCTCAGGAGAGGACGGGGCAGTACTGAAGAGGGAGGCCAGGGTGCCCTCATCCAAACCGTCTGGGTCCTGGGGAGTGGGCAGCCACTGAGAGGGAAGCCCCAACAGGTTAGCTGAAGTGGTGGCTCTCCCAGAGATGACTAACTGAGCAGTGGCCCCGGGCAGGCCTTGGGTCCCCGTGGGAGTCCCTACTAGGCCAGAGCAACAGCAAGGAGGACACAGGCTTGCAGGTGGGCCAAGCAGGATCTACGAGCCGTGGCCTGGCCGAAGTGTTTGGGTGACTCGCCTGGTCATGGGCAGCCAGTAGCAGCCTGAGAGCTTCCTCTAAAGCACTGTTTAGGATGGTCTGGAAAAGAGAGTTTGGCAGGAAATTGGTTTGATTGAAAAGTTAAAAGTTGGCAGAGGGGCTGGAGAGTCGGGGACAGGTGAGCAAGGCTGTGGAGGCTGAAGTGGCCGGGGTAGGAGCGAGGGCCGCAGCCTCTGTCTGCGAGGAGGGCGCCGAGCTGTGGACGTGAACTGGGACCTGGGGGACTGATGCAGGCGTTTCTAACAGTGGCCAGACATCTGGAAATGCTGAAGAGCCACTCCCGACTGCCTCCTTTCCCAGGTCCCTGCCAGGAGGGTGACTCTTGTGGTTATGAACCACCCTCCTAGCTTTGGCCAGAAAACAAATCAGCCCAGAGACAAATGAAGGGCAGCATCCATTGCAGAAACTGATACAGGTTATGAACCACCCTCCTAGCTTTGGCCAGAAAACAAATCAGCCCAGAGACAAATGAAGGGTAGCATCCATTGCAGAAACTGATACCGTTGGGGAGAGAAGGGCTCCCTGGGCTGCTGGAGCTCCCATTTTTTGTGAAAGGAAGACAAAGATGCAAAAGNGAGGAGGGCGCCGAGCTGTGGACGTGAACTGGGACCTGGGGGACTGATGCAGGCGTTTCTAACAGTGGCCAGACATCCGGAAATGCTGAAGAGCCACTCCCGACTGCCTCCTTTCCCAGGTCCCTGCCAGGAGGGTGACTCTTGTGGTTATGAACCACCCTCCTAGCTTTGGCCAGAAAACAAATCAGCCCAGAGACAAATGAAGGGTAGCATCCATTGCAGAAACTGATACCGTTGGGGAGAGAAGGGCTCCCTGGGCTGCTGGAGCTCCCATTTTTTGTGAAAGGAAGACAAAGATGCAAAAGACCAGCTGGTTACTTTTCAGAGCCTTTGTGTGCAGCCTTGTTAGGTGGGGTCGTGAACAAGGTGCTCAGTGGAGTTCCAGTCAGATGACAGAAGCCATGGGGGGTGATGGACCTGCCGGGGCCGAAGGAGCCAAAGTCGGCTGAGGAGACCCATCCATGAGAGTCAGGCTGCAGCCTCGGTGTCTCCTGACCTGGCCCAGGCAGCTTGGGCTCGCTGGAAGGAGCTCATTTGGTGGAAAACATCGGCCTTGACGTGTTCCTCCTCTGCTCTCCAGGCATTGCCTCCCAAGTGTCGGCAGAGTCCCATTTTGGAAGCCGGGGCAAAGGTGAAGGCAGAGTCACTTTAACCGGGAATCACTGCCTTAAAATGCTCTAACTAGGGCCATGGTTCTCAGCTGGGGCAGTTTGCTCCCCAGGGGACATTCGGCAATGGCTGGAGATATTTTTGGTTGTTACACGGGAAGGGGAAGGTTCTACTGGCATCTAGTGGGTAGAGCCTGGCGATGCTCCTAACATCCTCCAGGGCACAGGGCACAGGGCACAGGACAGCCCTCCACAAGACAGAATGATTGGGCCCCGGATGTCAGCATTGTCAAGGTGGCGAAAGCCTGAACTAGAGCGTCTTTTATGACTTGTCCCCCAGAACGGTCTCTAACGTGGCCTCTTGTCCCTCTCCCAACAGGAAACCATGATGGACCACGCCCTGCGCACCATCTCCTACATCGCTGACATCGGGAACATCGTGGTGCTGATGGCCAGACGCCGCATGCCCCGGTCAGCCTCTCAGGACTGCATTGAGACCACGCCCGGGGCCCAGGAGGGGAAGAAACAGTACAAGATGATCTGCCACGTGTTCGAGTCGGAGGACGTGAGTGAACGCACAGCCAGGCGCTCCCCAATGAAGTTGGTCTCTGCCTAAGGGTTCTGTTGTTAAAATGCACATTTTCACATGCCAGGCTTGCAGAAAGGGGGGCGCATCTACACTTGAGGTTTAGTACTTCACTTCGTGAGAAGTTAAAAAAGAGTCCTGACATTTACAATGCAATCAACTCCCTAAGAGACCATAGACTATTTGACTCCTTCCTTGAATGGGCTGGGAGTGTTATTATGAGCCTGGAGGGGGCGGAGCATGGAGCATCAGGGGCCAAGAGGTGAGTGAGTTCAGGAGAGGCCCCAGCCCCCTGCAGCCTGATCTCACTCAGGGACCACCAGGGAGGCTGCGGCTGAGCTGTTCCTGCTGCTGTTGCCAGAGGGGAATTTTTTTTTTTTTTGTCTTTTTTACTGACCGGTAAG